GGTAGTTGCAGCCACTTGGTGGAGTTAATGGGGTCAGACCTAAAAGCCTCTTTTTGTCGTTTATTGCCTTATTAAATTGGAAATTTGGGCATTGGTCCCGCATTTTCATTAGATTGAGACCTTAGAGATCAGTCCAAACTGCACCTTTTTCCACCATTCAAGGTACTGGGACCCACCACGTTCTTATCACAATTTAACTCGACATTTATTTATTTATTTATTTTTCAGAAAGAAAGGCTAAATTTAGTTGGTTATCTAACTAATGAACTGTTTTAATTTTAGTTTAGAAAGTTTATTTCCTTTTAAAGTGGTCCAGCAACTTCAAAAATTGTATTTATATGGCACTAAATGGACATGACTACATGAGCAAGGCGTACAAAAGAGGGATGGAGTGAGATTTCTTGGAAGACATTTTGAGGACTATGATGTCATTATTTGGTATTTAACAACCATGGTAACATGGATCATGATATGTGTATTTCTATTTGCTATTTAGTTTTGATAAATGGGTCAGTACTAGGAAGGTTTATTTGTCCTGAACTCTTTATTTTTACTAAGGAGCTACTTTATCACCATTTCTCCTTTTGTTTTGTTTAGAGGGGTTCTCACCATTGTTGAGAAGGGAGGTGAATAGCAGGAAACTCCATTGTTTTCTCTTCATAAGGGATATCCATGAGTTTCCTCCTCCTTTTTTGTTGATGATACTTTGCTATTCAAATAGGCGTTTGCAAGGGAAATCAAGGTTATTTGTTGAGTGAGAAAATCTCGTATTGAGCGTATAATAAAAAAGTACGTATTTTAAATATAAAAAAAACTATTTTACTTATTGTCAATTGATTTTAGATTAGATGTAAACTTTTATATTAAATCCGCTTGGAAAATTATCTTGGAGACATTGGAGGAGTATGAAAAGTTTTAGGTTAGTAGGTGAAGGTGGACAAATTTGCACTTTTTGTAAATAAAAATGTGGAAGAGGAGAGTGTGAGACGAATTATACAAGTGTCGCACGTCTCACATTTGATTCAATATCATAAGGATTGCATGTTGGAAGAAGCAAGTCCGTTTGCTTTTCCTTGTTCCGAGAAACAACATGGTCAAAGCTTGGGGGCTAGAAGTCTAGGTTGTTTAATAACGCGGGAATGGAGTTTCTAATAAGGCCTTGGTTTCATATGACCTCGAAAATTTGTTGCATAATCTCAATAGCATTGTTGTGAGCAGATTTTGGTCGAGAAACCAACTTCAAATGAACCTTTAGTGCTTATTGTTAGCTATTATAGAGTTTAAAATCAATTTTTGATTTCATAGTTAGTAAGAATTTTAAATTAATAAATATAAATTTAATTCAATTTTCAAAAACACACTTGATAAAAGTTTATAAACTAATTAGTGACATTAAAAATTGTAATAATAATAATACAACACTCCGCTCATGGTTTATTTCACCCCTACCCCACATCAAGAAAAAGGCAAATAAAATAAACTAAGAATCATGCCTCCTCGTCCACATTGAAAATGGATTATTTGGAATCTAAACAGCCAATTCTCATTTTATTCTTCCTTGCATATCCAAGCAAAAGATCAGCCCCTTGTTTTAATTACTATTGTTTATCATTTCTTTCTTGGAAGCTTGAGATGTGCACAAAAATCCCCTAATGAAAGGTTTGGTATATTCTTGGAGTTACCATATATCTTCTTCCAAGTTAAGCAGTTTGAATAATTACAGACATGGAGATAAGACTAAAGACTGTTACCTGTTTAGCAACAAATATTGCACTTTAATTACTAAATTAAAATTTAAAAAAGGAACTCTATTATTCATAATTCACAACAATTAGATGAGGACGGGACTTTTGATTTAATTTAAAGGAGGACTTTTGTTTGGATAAAAGGAAAATACCAACACTGTGTTTCCTTTCTTTTGTTGGTGCAATTCCCATAACTTAGGTGTTCAAGAAATTACTAGAAGCTAGTGTAGTTGTTCATAATTTCAACCTCCTTTTGTGTTTTGACTTGTTTTGGATTGCCCTTATGGGTGCTTTAATGTAATGTAACCTTGATTCTATGAATGGAGTATTTTTTGTACTTTTTACTATAATAAAACTTATTAATTCATAAAAAAATTTAAAATTTAAAAAATTAGTACAGTAACTAAAAAAATTTAATTTTGATTATCAAATTTAAAATTTCCTACTGAATAATTTGTCTATTTTTATTTTTAATTATCAACTTTAGTTATTTGAATTTTACCAATAAAAACAAAATTTCAATAATGATAACGATCCGAAACAAACCCTAAATAATCAAAGCCATCCTCCCTACTCCCTAGAGTCCATAGACATCTTTTTCTTAGCTTACGTTGAACAATATTCCAAAGTATAGAGAGTTGGTTTTAAGTAGTTTTCAAATTAAGTTCGTAGAAATACAGTTTTTCCTTCTCATTGAAATCGTCAGTCTAAGAAAGCGAACTGTCTGTCACATGTAATGACTAATGATGGCCCCATTTTCTTGTTAAGCCGATTGTAGTCCACATGTATATGGTCCGTTCTTTCTACGCATGTGCTAGCGTGAGGTGAAACGTGAATATCATATGACATATATCTCTTTTCTTTGATACACGCTAATAAAATTCATTAGTAAAGCAACAGATATTACAAGGGGAATTCATATGTAATATGTGATTAAAGGGTAAAAAAGCTAAATACCTATAATATTAATAAAAGATGATTTGCTCGTACTATAGATGAACAATTATGCATAGAGTTATAAATAGCCAATCATGCATAAGAGGACAACCCAATTATGTGTTTTGTGCATTTGAGGAGTCCAATATGAATACTCTAGCTTTTAGGGCTAAAAGATTAGTTAATGATTCCACCTATGAACTATCATAGATTAAAGCAAGTGTTGTAACAATTCCAAACCCAATTAGCCCTACCTATATACGCTGTCTCCCTCCTTCATTTGGGATAAAATTGATTGAAAAATATTGAGATAATTTAGGTAAAAAACTAACAGAAAGAGACAGAAAAACCCTCACACAAAAGAAAGAAATAATCCTACCCTTATTTCATCTTCCTTTTTGACTGTCAAGGGAGAATTAGGCAGCAATTAAGGAGAAAAGAGAAGTAATA